CCCCCCCCCCCCATGAAATTAGCCTGCAGGAAGGGGGAAGGAAAGCGGAAGAAGAAAGAGGAGCAAACCAATAGTATTTCCATAAAACTGCCACTGGAGGTGGGGGAGAGGGGGAGGAGATGAAGCCCTCAGTGATACCGAGCTGAAGACAAGAGAAGTTACGCGAAGCATTGCGCCACTACTACAGTAATCAAACGTCAAAAGTTTTACCACTTCGTATGAGCAATGCAGATACTCCCCGGTGATTCAGACCCGGTGATGATTTGCCACTAGCCATCGCAGTCTAGCAAGATCATCCATTTTCACCGAGGATTTTTGAGGAACAGACCGAGGCCGAATGAGTCTCTGTTGTATTAGATGCTTAAGCATGATTTAACGACCGAATCGAAGTGAGAGCGCGTAAGCTACCTGTTCGAGCTTGAATGTGGGAGCAATTTATTTCCAAGCTTACTAAGACTTTTCCAACCTAATTGGCATTTTTGCACCTTCTCTTGCTCTAATTTTTTTAAAATTCATCGTTATCACTTCGGGTACCAGTGGCAGTTTTTGCGTTTTCTGACGAATTTCCTGTTTTTTAGCTCCGTCTGTTTTTTTTTCCATGCTGTTTTTTGCTTTCTCTTAATCAAAATTTTACTCATATCAGAAACATTTTGTTTTAATTTTTCATTCCCTATTTTTTACGCACTATTTCTTCGAGCTTGACAATGCTGGATTTTTCTGGCAGTCTTAGAACGCCGTAAATTTGCATAATCAGATCTGAACATATGAGCAGCGCATCGTATTTAAGGTAGTGCTAACTTTTACAGGCGTAAATGTAAATATCTACGTGCTCAGATTCCGAATAATTAGTGTGAGTAGACCATGTTGGTGATATTAATGGAATGCGTCAAAACTTTGACGCAACGGTGTCAGACCCTTCAATTTTCTGGGTCGCATACCTTCAGTTAGTACCCTTCACCTATGCCATTCATCTGTTCCACTTCCTCGGAGATTTGTAATAGTTTACTTTCTCGCAAGTACCACTCACTAATGTATGACTTTCTCTGGCTGCGAGGAGAGAAGCGACGATTCCTTGCCTATCGAATCTCACTTTCTCGCATGGCCGTAAATACTCAAAACTCCTTCCATATTTGCTGTCGGGACTACTTCCCGAGTGCTAACATATGTAGCAACAACTGTCCGCTGACAAAGCTGATCATGGTTCCCTTTTTCAGTGACTGCTTACAACTAGGATGATTGCGGGTTTGAATTCCTAATCCGTGTCAGTGCCAATTTGCCACCGCAAAAAAATAAACCAGTAGTAGAAGGACTGGTTGTCCCAACAGCGGATTCGAACTTTCGATCTCCTGTATGACAAAAGTGCTACTTCTCACTGTCCGCCAGTTGATCCGGCATTGAGTGTGTAGTGACAAAGTCATACTTATATTTGTAAATATAAATCTGCATATGCATAACTGGGGGCATATATATGCACATAGTTATAGAAGTATAAATTAAAATTATAAATTTGTGATATCAAAGAGTTGATGAAAGGCGGCTCCCTTATCTTAAACATTTTACACTTGCTTTCATTAATTCCCCGAACGAAGAAAGGGCAGGCAGTGCAATGCTTTTGAGCTATAGCAGTGCGTTACGTCAGGATCAGCGCAAATTTATGTTGCAGCACAGGACGAAAGCAGCTTTATCAGCAGCAGCAGGAGCAGGCATGCTTACATCTGGCTCCACTCGGTGCCAGTCTGTGGCTGTTCGTGTTGGCCACTCTTCGTTCCCGAATGACCTAAATCAACGGATGCCTGCTCTCGCCCCAGCAAAACAGGCGACACCGAGAGCTCCGCCTTTTACCGCACCGCTATTTTTGGGCAGGATTCTAGGGGCGCAGGAGAGCGGCGAGAAATTGCAGCTGTTCAACTGAATTTCCCGCACAGCTAGAGTTCCAAACATATGATAGTACTGGTTAAGTGCGTTTTGTGTATTATATTATAAAAATGTACACGCAGAAGGAGAGAAGGGAAGTGAAAAGGGAAACAGACTGGAGGAGAGCGGGATGGAGGGTGAATGAGGAAGAGTAGGACATCTAGGAAAGAAGGCGAAGAGGTGCCACCCCGTAAACAACTGACCAGCACAAATGAAAATGACCAATAATACCCATGTAACAAAGAGAGAGGAAATGAGGTTTCAAAATGGGGATCAGCTAACGAACTTCTAGCATTTGAGGTAAACCGTCGACATCCTGTTTAACAGGGCTGATTTTTAAGTGAGGTCTCGCATTCGCTTTTTAGGGTTGAAGTCCAGGGAAGAAAGCATGCGCTATCATCACAGCACCTCAAGTGACGGATGTCTGCTTTCTTGTTCTCATTCCAACGAAAAAATTGCGTTGAATTTGCCTGACCAAGTGAGATGCTTTGAAATTTTGAACAGTCCGTAGCGAGCTGATCGTCTCTTCAGGAAACGAAACGAAGGGCAGAACCGCGATTGGGCTGATGCAGCCCTGATCAAAGAAACTGACGATGCAGAAGCAGTGGACAAAAAAACCCCAGAAAAAAATGTTACAGAATCTTTCAAGATAAAAGTTCTGAAATGTAAGCATTTTCATGAAAGTTGTCCGAAGACAGTACCGAACATTTTTCTGCATTTTTGCACATTTCAAAATATATATTGACAGGAGATTGCGGTGTATATGTGTTCGGTTTTTGTCACCCACTTTTAGCTCAATAACTAGAGAAACTAGGAAGTCGAAATTTTACAAGCATATTATCGATCTGTGTGCGATCCGTACTTTAGTTTAAGCTCCATCTTCTTTGGAAAAAGAATCTAATCTCACCAACACTTTTTTCAAGATTTAACACTAGATTTACTTGATTTTACTAAATATTCGAGCTATTATCAAGTTTTGATGCATGCAAGGTTAGATGAAGTCAGAAACGTAGCTCAGAGCAATTTATGGCTTTGTACGCTTGCCAAGCTTATGTTTCTACGCTTCAGTGCTTTTATTTCTAAAAAGGGTAGAAAATTTTTTATAGCTTAAGTACATCACTGATTTAGATTATTCCTGGAAGCATAAATTCATGTGTTTGGGGAGTACTTCCGAAGAAAACAGTTTGGGAAAATTGATAACTAAAACAGCAAAAAACGAAGGCTTTTAGCAAATTTTTGCAAATTTTTCAAAAAAAAAGGCACAATGACAGAAAAGCCGCAATGGCAAGCAACGCTGCTCTCTTACAGAAGATTGGAGGTTCAAATTCGTTACTGGGGCAAGCCCTTTTGTATGGTTCATTCATTAGTTTTAGTAGTAAATTGGTAATGATGCATGCCAGGAAGTCAAGCTCGCTGTCGGCTTGTTTATAAGCAACCATCGAAAGGGTGAGTGGTGACGGCGAGTGTTTGCTAATTCGCCTACGCTATCACTTGGACTGTCTGTGAAAAGCACGTAATCATTAAGCAAAACAGCACGGGAAAAGCAAAGTGATGCTTTAGAGAAGGAACGATTCACGATTATGTGCCGGAGCGATGCTCGAAGGACAAAGCAAGGTAGAAAGGAAGGTGTTTGATGATGTTGCGCTGCATGAATTTGGCAAAAACTTCGTGTTCTTTGTTTCTGGACGAGCTTTTCTTCCTTCCAGCAGCTTCTTATCATGTTGTGAGCAAGAACAACGTGCGGTAGATTTCGGGAAGACAGAGAGAACGAGGGAGAGAGTGGTAATGACAATGATAAGAAAACTTTCAGCAGATGATTCTACTGAAGCATGAAATAAGTGAAGGGGACTGGAAGAGAGGGGAAGGGAGGCACGAAGCAGAAGATTTGCCGTAGGCTAAAAGAAATGACTCTTCCTCCTTTCACAAATGCGGATATATTATTGTCATTCATTTGTTGCGCAGAAAACTTGAAACATCCTCTTGAACGAATCTTCTAAAGTGGTGACGATGATGAAATGTTCATTGTTATTCTTAGCATAATCATTATCATCACCATTATCACCACCACCATCATTACCATCATTACCGCCGTTACCAGCGTCATGGCCTGACTTGAGTTATTTCTTAACAGCCGGTGTTGATATAAATATATATCAACGATATTATGACTGCCTGGACAATGTGGGTATTCCATGTTAGTGATGTTACTGAGATGCTTTCACAAACCGGACACAGATATGTCAGGCTTTTCGATCCTGAACTGTATACTTCAGTTGATATCTACCGTCTACTCAGTATAAAGGCTTTACCTCTATTAATAATTCTGTAGATATACAAACTTTTTCGTTGCCATTTAAATTCTCTAGAAAAAGTAAATTACACTCGGGCGGCTCCTGAAAAAGTAGCGTATATTCATTGAATAGGCAGTGAATACCAATTGTAGGTATGCAGTCTCGAAATGAAGGTCCCGTACGAGAGCATTTCAGTCACATAATTAACAGGGGATATTCGCACTGAATATGCGGCATTCTAGGTGTTTAGGACACGTGCTTTTCTTTAGGTACACAGGGTACGTGCTTTGTAATTTCCAAGCAAAAATGTTGCATTATAGACATGCAAAATGAAAAATCAAGAAAGCCGACCAGATATTCGCATAAAGTATCAACGTTCTGTTATTGTCGAAATCCAAAAGAAAAGGAGAAAAATAAGAGGGGGTGGGGATGCGAATGCAACTTCTATATCCAGTCATCCTCCAGTTTTCAATGGAAAAAAGGAGGCCGTGTTGTGAGGTGATCATGCATCCAGATAAAACATTTTATTATTCGCACTGTGAGTGTTTTGAAGACATTTTGAGAAAACCAGTTTTTCAATCGTTTTATTATTATTATTTGCAACAAAAATTGGGGATTTTTGGTGACTGACCAAGTGAACGATGATCACTTTCCAGACAAAATCCCCCCTCACCCCCACGTCTCTCTCCCTCTGCCCCTCTCCCTCTAATCCTCGCTCCCTCCTCCAATTAACCAACAAACAGAAGCATTATAATTTGATTCATAATACAGGAAACTTCAGCATCAGCACCATACGGCAAATGTGAGAGGCAGCCGTACAGTGAATATTCGAAATAAAAACACTGTAAGTGTTCATCGAAATATGAAGAAAAAAGTATGAAATTAAATTTTGTGCGAAAAAGCTGCTATTATACAGATTCAGTTCAGTTGATGTATCTTTAAGCCCGTATTGAACTTGCGCTGAAATCTGACGTCGCTTCACGTGACCTGTTTAAGCATTTCGAGCGATGCTATCATCTGAGGAATAAAACTTAATATTTGTCATTCACTGGATCCCATTTTTCAGGCAATAGGCTTATGCCTCATGCCCTTCTGCCTGAAGAACCGTTCAACTGGTAATTCTTTCAGATGATGAAACGAGCGACAGGATTACTAGTAGGCTTACCACCGGACTATGTAGCGTTGGTTAAAGCAGTCGGAAAAGCTATCAGCTGCACAAGTTGGAGAACGACGCTGTGAACTACGGAATTGATCAATTTGGTGTAGTACTGTATTCGTTCCTTTGCTTTTTTTGAAAATTCAGCTAGTGTTTTAATTTAGGCTCTGGATTTTTTCGAGAGATTTGCTGTTTAATAAATGATGAAGGCTGCTGTTAAAGAAATAACGGTCAGTTTATGTCGTTGAGCGGTTTTCGAAGCAAAAGGCAAGCAATCGTCTTTCCAACAAAAACAGAAAATGGAATCTTTTTTGCAGGCCCTAAATGCATAGCCGCTTTCCTGCTGTAATGATGCTGCTATTAGAGTGATGTAAGGATGAAGTAGAGAAATGCAAGGTTTAGCAACCACATTAAACGGACAAAACCTTAGCAACGGCCAAATTGTTCACTAAAAGCTGGCTATGGCTAGCCAGTTGGCCCGTTTACCAGCATCCTTTCATCGAATTCGTGCAGCACTTGTTCCTTTACTGTATGTTTTTCGTAATTTTCTTGGTACTTAAAACGGTGCTAATTCACCGCTGATTCATGAATGGCTGGTAACCATGCAATTTTTATGCGTTTTTGTGGCGCAGCGCTATAGCTTTGCAACTGTCATCAAAACCGCATAATGTGACGATCCATGATATGTATGAATTTCTCCGGGTTTTCAACTTCAGGTAGACTTATACGATGAAATTTTTCCGCTGTTTTTCCTGGCCAAGCTTGACCTCAGGAACCTGATATCAACTTTTGCTTGACCAATGCTATATTGCCTGATGGTCAGTCTCTTGGCGATCTTATCGGTCCTTCCCTCTCCAGAAGGAATTACTTACCACGTTGGCGTGCCTTGCTGTCTGAAAAATTCCTTCTTCTTCAGCGGATCTTCACTAGCTCAATAAACATGCAAAATGCTTGCGAGAAAGTAAATAGCTTTCCGAGTAGTCATGGAGGAAATGGCGAACGTGTGTGGATAAACGGTGGGTATTTAATAGAGATATGGAACTAGGATCGTACGGCGTGGCATAGTTCAGCGTGTCGGAGCATTCCAGTAACATCTACTAACATGGCTTCTCAGGCTAACTAATTTTTGATTTCGCTTTTTTGAATTTTTAATCGTTCTTGAACAGCGAATAGTCAAACCTCTTGCGTATTGTATTTTAACATATAACTCTGTAAATGGCAATAAGTGTTTGTTTCTGTAGCAGAGCACTCTTGCGTTCATGCATTTTGTTGTTTGATGGCATAGAGTGGCAATACACACCATGAGCAAGGGATGGGTGTACTGTGCAAGTTTATGTACAAGAACTTTTTCTTTTTCCTTATGAAAGTCACAAGATTATCAAGCTGAAAGATTCGTAAGTTTCTGGATCAAGCACTAACATGAACTGGGTAAAAGACTGCAATTAATTTTGATTTGAAAATGTCGAGAAAAATTTTGATTTGAAAATTCAGAATTATTTGGAATTTGATTTAAAAGTTTGTGGAGCCCGTGCACTGTTGAACGCGGGGTTC